TGTGTGTGTGTGTGTGTGTGTGTGTGTGTGTGTGTGTGTGTGTGTGTGTGTGTGTGTGTGTGTGTGTGTGTTTGACAGCAGCTGACTAGGAGTTATGACATCCCCACAGCAGAGAGAGGAAGGAGAGGCAGCCTGGTTAATATTTGTCATGGCAGCTGGTGGATGGGAAACAATTCAATCCCACTCACTAACCTTTATTTAAACACAACAACGAATCAGATTCAACACAAACGACTGCTTCTGCTGCTGCTTCTGCTTTGGCTGTATTTTTAATGGCATCCACTCCAGACTGTGTTGCTTTTTTTACTCCCTCCTCTTCCCTCCTCCTCCTCCCCCTCCTCCTCCTCCTCCTCCTCCTCCTCTTCCTCCTCTTCCTCCTCCTGATCATTTCATTTCACCACCAAATGCAAAAAGGAAACGTTTAATAGAAGAATCCAGCGGGCCAGAAGGAGGAAGGCTGAAGTGAAAACAGTGTGTGTGTGTGTGTGTCTACAATCACACCTACCCACTCAGTCACATGCACACACACACACACACAAACACACACACACCAATGAATAATTACTGTAATATTCCTGTGATGTTTCTGCAAAGCCTTATATTGAGCAGAGGCTCTTTAATGAACATTTAATATGGTTTCTGATTGACTGAATGATTATTTCAATTATCTATTAATCTACCAACTGTTTTCTTGATTAAAATGTCAAAAGAAAATGATGTGATGTATTCATATTCCAAATATATTCAGTTTAATTTCATATTTACCAAAGAAAAGCTGCAAATTCTCATATTCACAAAGCTGGTAACAGAAAATTTCTAACTTTATTGAAATTACCATCAAAATAGCTGCTAATTAATTTACTGTCATGAACAAACAGATTGATCGACTATTGATTTCCGCTGTATTTCACATTATATCACCACAACATTCACATTATATTTCAACAGGGGCTTCAAATGTGCTTTTATAGTTGCACTTAATAGTATACTTCCTCTATTGCATTGATTGTGGATTTTTGCAATCAAATTCAGGACAAAGTATCACATAAACATCTATCATAGGAAATGCATTGCAATTATAGCACATTAAAATCCATTTTGATGTATATTAAAAGTGCATTTCTCTATAATGTCCCAGCAGTAACTTGTTGGTTGAGGTATTTCCACTAGTGTCCCTTTAAGAAGTTTCTTGCCTATAGGATCCCCCCACCTCCCCTACACACACACACACACACACACACACACACACACACACACACACACACACACACACACACACACACACACACAGGCTATATGCACATTCACACACGCTCACACAAATGCACACGTGCACACACTCACCTTTCATCTCGCAGCAGTCCTTGGTTCCTCTCTGGTCGGTCTTGATTGGCAGCTGGAGCAGGGACTTCAGGTTGGTCATGGAGGTCAGGTGTCCACTTTGAGGGCCACTTCCAGCCGGGTTGCTGGCCCCAAACTGGGGGCTGGTGGCCCCGGCAGGGAGATCCGGCGGTAAGAGCTGAGAGAGAGGCCTTGACATAACTTCTAGGGGAGGAGGAGGGGGGAGATGAGGGGAGGCACGGGGGAGAGGAGGTGGAGTAGAGCAACCTGCAGACTGTAAGTTCAAGATCAAAATAATCCAATTAGTGACACTAATTGACAGGCGCGCCGTCAAAAGGTGTGCGGACAGGTGACGCCTGTGTGCGCTCAAGATCTCCACCTGATATCCCACTTCTCCGCCCGTCCCATGAAGAAATATGAGTAAAGAAACGAAATAAAAGAGGGGGGTTTATCTCCAAAATGGCACCATGTCGACCGAGTCTAATTCATCCTCTCAAACTGGCTGAGCCCTCTGGAGTTGCTGTCACGTTTTCTCCCTTTAAACAAACTCAGCTCCGCACTAACAGACGCACGCAGGAAGACAAATTCAATCCCGGAGGCGCAGGAGTGAGGTCCCCTTTGAGTTTGTGGAGATATAACGGCGGCCGGTCCGTCGGTCGGTTGGTCGGTTGATCGCGCGAAGAATTATGAGTCCGGAAGGCAAAAAAGCAAATAGAAGATGAAAACAGAAATAAACGCGGATGTCTGTAGTCCCATGCAATGAGTGGAGAGAGAGGATTAGAAACAGTACAGTAAACAGTAGAAGCGGAGTCGAGTCGCGGCGGTGGGAGAAGTCTCCAAGGTAGAAAAAGATGGCCAAAAACAAACAAGCGAAAAATACAAGATGAAGGAAATAAAGAGATCCCCCCCAAAAAAATAATAATATCCAATAGTATGAGAGTCAGATAGATGGGGCTGATGGCTCTTATTTTCCTCCCCCTCTCTCTCTCTCTCACTCTCTCTCTCTCCCTCCCTTTCTCCTTCTCTCTCTCTCAGTCAGCTGGAACCAACACGGGCCGCTCGTGTGACGTCACCGCTCACGGGGGAAAGGCGCTTGGGGGCGTGGTTCGTTTGCATTCTGAGACCACGCCCCCGGCAACACCGCCTTTTTCTTAAAGCCACTGTAACGCCTTCACTGCATATGTGAAAGCTGGTAAATATGAGCTTCCATATTAAAATAAGATTTGAGGGGTATCAGGATAAGGAATGAACAAATGAATTTTGAATGAATTTACCTGATTTGCTTATGTTGTCTCATTAGCTTAAACCTGCAGTAACTCGTTTATTTTGGCTACAACAAGTTGTGTTGATATGGTAAACTTGTAGACACACATCCACCAGTTACAACACAACATTAGCTTTAATAATCCCAGTGTTCTCCTTTTAGCTCTGGTTTTGGTCTTGATCAACTCCTGAGTCTACTATGTTCAGATAGGTACTTACTGTATCCGTCTGCTGTTTGGTGCTAAGCAGGTAGTTTATGGTGGGATTTTAGAGCTGTTTCACTGAAAATATCTACATTCTTTAGGCTGGAAATGACCCTCTGTGAGTAATGAGAGTGAACTAAAACAGTAAACTTATGGTCTGGATAGTTAAACAATGAGCCAGAATTCACCATAAAACTCTGTAAAGCAAGCAGAACCACAAATTCAGGTGGTAATTCACTGTAGGTTCATTACTGTGAGCAACTCCTTTCACATTATCACATTGTTTTCACATTGTCATTTGATATATTTTTAAAATATTGGTTATAGCCTTTAAGGACGTACAAAGAATTGTTACAACAATCTGTATTACTACAAAAAAATGTTCAACTTGGTTGTACTATAAAAAAAAAATAGAGACACTTTGCCTTGTCAAATGAAGCGAGTCCCACATTTAATTCTAGTTTTAAACAAAAAATCCACAGTATTGTTAAATGAATAGAATTTTTTTTTAACTTCTTTTTGAAACTCCATAATGAATATATGTATGTGTATATCAGTATCAATTCCTGAGCAATGCTAAATAAGGTTACTTGTAAAAACTGTACATTGAGTTGTATTTTGGTGACACTTCGGCGGAAGTCCCTCTATATTAAGGAGTACACAAGTGTTTATTAATGTATTTTCTGAATAACTATAACTTCTTTTGTGGGCACCAACAAGTGGAGGCAAACCTATAAACAGATAATGAATTAAAATAAAACACTGTTGTAATGATATAAAATGTCATCATGACTTCATGGCAGAAGATATAATTGGGTAAGCCATCATGATATAGTATTTTTATCATCTTATTTTTTATGCAACTGTTTATTTATGACTTAATTAGTTTTTCAGTCCCTGCAGTACATCAAGTCACACCACATTGAATGATTCTGGTTCTTGCTTTTAAGTGTCATTTTCTGTTTGCTGTTTCCTCTCTTAGTACCTGAACGCAACACAAATTTGCATTTAAAATACAACACCCCCTTGTAATTTCAGCCAATAGCAGATAACAGCTGGGACTGTTGCGTACCAAGTACCCGCCACCCCCGAGCTGTACTCCGCTCCCCGCCCCTCTCCTCTTCTCTCACGCTGTCATTTAAACCGAGAGGCCAAAACAACAGCGAAGACCAAGGAGCGAGAGTCAGAGTAAAGTACCACGACCAGTCTTGAGACGTAGGCATGTTTGCTGTTTTACTGCGCCCTCCCCACCCCACCCCCCACCAAACTCACACACAGACACACACACACTGACACATTTATACCCACAACGTGACAGAATTTGAAGGCTGAAAGTAGCTGTGTATTAGAAGCAAACACAAGTGTCAGGTGTTTTACTCCATTTTGTCTGTGAACGTAACTTCAGTTTACAGTCGTTAGAGATACAACCGCCATGTTGTGATTTGTCAGGAGTGTAAGATGAAAAACTTGTTTATTAACGTTTCTTTCGATGGGTTGAGTGGTGTTTTTAATTATACAGTAACTGTAGGCTGTAAAGTTTTAAAATCATCACATCTAAAGTGATTAAACTGTATCTAATACGATGAAAACGGAGGTAAAAGCCACGACTAGACTGTTTCTCTCCCCACTGGTTGTCCCTATCTCAACACCAAAGAAGCACATGGCTCCGGCACGCGCCGACTGTTGCCTACCGGCGACTCTGCCGCGCTGCGATTGGCTGAAATTAGGTCACTCGCTGCCGTTCTCGGCCTTCTATTGGCTTAAAATAGGTCACAGTCTCCGCCCACAGGTTTCCCCATGCCACTGCCGCGTGAGGGGCTGGCTGGAGGGGGGGAATAAGAGGGAGGGAGGGGGGTGTCAAAAATCAATTAACTAAAGATCCATAAAACATTTTTTTTACTAAGCTAACTAAAAAAAAAAAAAAAAGTATAATTAAAAAAAAACATACATTAAATAACTACTATAAAATTACAATAATAAAAAAATAAATAGAAATTGAAAAGATAAAATAAAATAAAAGTACAAAACATGATGTCATATATTATTATCTAACATATCAAATGGTAAATTTTACTTAACTAATTCAAACAAAAAGTACATTTAAAAAATAAAATATTACACAAAAAATGTCAATATAAAATAAAAACGAATTAAGAACGTTCTTGTTTTGTTTTGACAATTTAATGTTTTTCTTTGTCATGTTAAGGTGTCAAACTATTTTTCAGACCTGATAATGTAGCAGTGGTGGAAAGTAACTAAGTACATTTATTCCAATATTGTACTTAAGTACCATTTTGAGGTTCTAATATTTTACTTGAGAATTTCCATTTTCAGATACTTTATATTTCTTCCTCACTACATTTTTACAAATATCCTTTTACTTCACATTTAGCTTGTGAGTTACTTATCAGATTAAGATCTTACATGGATGTTAATGCATACTGTTCCTGTGAAATGAATGGCAAACCTGAAACGTCAATAATATCCTAACAATAATAATAACAGCCTATTAATTTATTACAGGAGTAAATCAAACATAAACATAATGTGTTTCTTGTTGATATTAATTTGACTGACTCATGAATCCGTTGCAGCAGCTGCACTGTGAGAGCAGCAGTTCCTAGAGGGACCTGGAGAAGCCTGCAGGTCCTATCTGGTGACAGAGTGCTGTCAAATATACATGACAGGAATGTGTTGGTAGTAAGAGGCCAAAATAATCTTTGTCACTCACACACATATATACACACACACACACACACACACACACACGAGTAGGAGTGTGTGTACGCTGGCATGCATCAGGGAAAGTGTGAAACAACAGCTTGACTCCACTAATGTGTGATTCGAGTTTCATGAGCCGTTTCGAATTGAAATTATTTTCCCCTTGGTCCTTTCCAGCTCTAGTTTACTGTCTATTCTATTGTAATGGCACCATCTAGTGGGCGACTGGTGGTAATGCATCAAAACATTACAGTCGTGCACCTTTCCAACCCATGTATACAAGGTTCCCCAGCCAAAAAAAAGGGGCCGCTGTGTGGTCAGGCCAGCTCACCTACTACATGCCTCAGCTGCACAACACCTTAATTCCTGTCACTATACCTGGAGCTCTCTGAGTCTACACTTGTGTGCGTGGGCTTTATGCATCAGAGAAAAACCATTTCAACACCCCTATAGTAGAGGGATGGATAAAAATATACACGATGTATTAATTATCTAAAACAGGCTTTGAGGGGATGGATGATGGAGTCTTAATGGCATTTTACAGACAGTTGTTGGTAGTCCATTTAATAAAGTGCTGGATCCTCCTAGACCTAAGGCTTTGTGGAGGGTCGATGGGAATAGATAAGTAGTTTAATAGCAGCTGTGTGCTGTCTAAATACAAATATTTATTGCTAGAATATCTGCTCCTAGATCATCCATTGAGCTTAACCACACCAAACTAAAGCATAATTTTGTCAGTTTTTACCCACCTTATAACTAATACTAAGACTGACTGACAGAAGTCATTTCTCTGAACTACCGTCACCATTATACCAACTTGCTTGCCCATGCAAAAATTCAGCCATTTTAATTAACTTTCTCAAATCTACACTAACAGATGCTTTGTTAGTAAAAGCTTTGAAGAGTGAATGGTCAACTTTTCAATTTAGAATCTATTGTGTTTATCAAGTTTTGAACTGTGAAGAACACATATTTCTTTAATGGACCTGAAAGTAAATGAACATAGTCAAATAATAAAAAATTAAATTTGCAGTTTTTTTTTTTTTTTTTAATACCAGCCCTGATCGTTCTTATCTAAATCAAAGTATACCGAAATTAAATACACTATGTCCGATGGTTTAAAAGAGACCACTTCATCCGTAGAAAGTTGTTCCAAAGAAAACACATTCTCCTGAATATCTGTGACATTGTTTCTGGAAAGTCAATGCGGTTGAGTTTTTTTTTAGTAATTTCTTCAATGTTTCAAAGCGACATAAATTAAATTCCATTCACCTTCATTGTATTGGGTTGGAGGTAGAAACTTCCGAGGTGGATATCGCAAAACCTGGGAACATTTTTTTGAGATTATGGGAGGTGGATCTTGTGTCTAATTCAAGTGGAACACAGGTGGGAGTGCTTTTTAAAAACTCTTGTCTGTGGTCATGTATATTTTAGCATCTGGAGCTCAGTCACCATGTGCGATCATCCATGTGAAGTTTGCCAACACAGATTCATACTTTTTAGATGTTTAGTTATATTTTTATGTTATTTGCAGAAATTTCAGAGCCAAAGGTGAGTTTGTTTTCCACTCCAACGTGTCTCTTTTGGGCACTGGGCAGTGATGTATGAACACACCAACTAGATCACCCAGTTTCTCAACTTGACTTCATTTAAAAAAAAAAAAAAAAAATCACACAATGAAGTGATGAAGTGAAGTCCATGACAACACATTTCTGGAGACATAAGGCGCCATTCTTCCACTTTCCCCCAGTGTTTTATCTAAATAATGTAGAGCCTGCTTGATTGATGTCATCTGTCAGGTCACAACATTTT